ACCCACACGCTCAGCCACGTCTCTTCCTGCTCCATGTTGTCCTGCAGATGGGAGTAGGGTGGAGGAAGCGTTTCAGAGGCGTCGGCACGCCAAGGAAGTCCCCAGGAGTCTGGCGCGTCAGGTCCCCAGGGAGATCGCACGGCCCTTGGGGAAAGAGATTGGGGCCGCGGGAGTCCCGAGGAGGCCACGAGGAAGCTTCTAGCTTTCCTGTGGTCTCCTGGGGAGATCGGGGCGCCAGGGCATGCAGTAGTTGCTCAGTGAGGACTTGGGGACTACCTGGCAGAGCGTTGGGCGCAAATAGGGTCAGGATTGAACAGAGGGGCGGCCCTGCTAGACCGTGGGTAGGTAATCCACGAAGGGGAGTCTGGGAGCCGCTGCAAAGGTGTAGGCGGGACCGGGCACAGTGGCTCACACCTGTCATCCCAGTACTTTGGGAAGCCAAGGCGGGAGGACCGCTTGAGCCCAGGAGTTCAAGACTAGCCTGGGTAACGTGGAGAACCCTCGTCTCTACAAAAAAATGTTTAAAAAATGAGCCAAGCGTGATAGCATGTGCCTGAGGTTCCAGCTACTCGGGAAGCTGAGGCGAAAGGATCACCTGGGCCCAGGAGGTTGAGGCTGCGGTGAGCCATGATCATGCCACTGCACTCTAGCCTGGGCAACAGAGTGAGACTACGACTCCAAAAAATAAAAAATGTGAGTGGGCAGGTGTGTTAGGGGTTTTGGGTGGAGTGGAAAGGGCAGGCCTGGCCTGTGGGCGGGGTCTCCGTGTCCAGCTTTTCTGAAGCAGTGACCTGGGTAGGCTGGAAATGGCGACGAAGGTCCTCAATCCAGCGGTCTCTCTCGGCGGCTGAGCGACAAGAGAAGCAGCGGCTTCCTCCTGCCCACGTTACCTGTGGGGGCAGAAGATCCAATGGTGAAGCCAGGAGTGAAGCCAAAGGGTCGGAGGTGGGTCCAAGGTGGGGGATGGCCTACACTTACCTGGAAGCAGTGAGGCTCCCCCAGGAGGCTTGGGTGCAGGGGCCAGACCTGCACGTCCTGCTCGGCGCCCAGGTCTAGCTCGGATAGTGTGGCCAGCGATTCCCTAGAGCCCAGAGCACTGGGGGGGCTGTGGGAGGGCAGGCGACCAAGTGGTCATTCCTCCCCTCCTTCAACAGGGTAGAGGAAGGCCAGAATGGACTTGAGCCTAAACTGGCTTCTGTCCTCCCTGCCCCCACCGTTTTCTCCACCGCCCGTGGCACCTTGTGGTGTCCCTTCCAGAGTCCAGCCCTTGTCACCTCACCTCCTCACTCAATCCCTCACTTTTTTTTAGTTTTATTTTTTTAGACATAAGGTCTCACTATGTTGCCCAGGCTGGTCTTGAACTCCTGGCCTCAAGTGATTCTCCTGCCTCGGCCTCCCCAAGTGCTGGGATAACAGTTGTGAGCGACAGTGCTCAGCCTTGATCCCTCACTCTCTGAGCTCCGGTCACCCCGGCCTTGTTTTTGTTGCTTCTCTCTGCCTCTTCGCCTTCGCACTTGCTGTCCCCTCTGCCTGGAATGCGTTTCCTGCACCCTCTTGGCCTAGTTCCATTCACCCTTCAGATTTCAGTTCAAGGGTCCCTTCCCTGACCCTCCCAGGCCCTCCCTCCCTGACTTAGTGCCTATTTTATTGTGTCAGACTCTGACTCCACCCTGCAACCAATGGCTGGTTCCAGGCTAGGTGTTTCATCAGGCTCAGCATCACTGAAATGCAGCAGGCCACAGAGGCCACAGCGGGTGTTTGGTGAAGGCCAGAATGACAGGAAGGAGGAGGAAGAGGAGGAGGAGGAGGAGGCGGCGGCGATGGTAATGTTGAACCTCAACCCTTCCAGCCTCTGAAAGACCCTTACCCATCCCGGGAGACACTGGCTCCCAGCTCCGACCTGGCCTTTTTCTTCTCTTTCAGCCTCTTGAGCAACCCCTGTGGGGAGGGGGATGTCAGCTGTGCTCCCTTCTCAACTCCTTCCCTCCCAGGGTGCCCAGAGGATCTGCGTATCTTGGGGGACCAAGACCAAGCTCAGGCTGTATTAGCAGGAATAATAAGGGCAACCAACAGCTCCTATTTCTAAAGCATCAATTATATGCTCTCCTGCACCATTTATTTATTTGTTTATTTATTTTAGATAGGGGCTTGTCATGTTGCCCAGGCTGGACTTGAACTCTCAAGCAATCCTTCTGCCACAGCCTCCCAAGTAGCTGGGGCTTCAGGTGTGCACACCATGCCTGACTGAAAATTTTTTCATTTTTTTTTAAGAGATGAGGTCTCGTTATGTTGCCTAGTCTGGTCTCAAACTCCTGGGCTCAAGCTTTCCTCCCACCTCAGCCTTAGGCGGGTTCCAACATGCTTGGCTCCTGCTTGACTCAGGAAGTCCTTCTGCCTCAACCTTCCAAGTAGCTGGAATCACAGGCGCGCACTACCATGCCCAGCTAATTTTTTGGTTTATTGTAGATACGAGGTTACGCCATGTTTTCCAGGCTGGTCTCGAACCCATGTGTTCAGGCAATCCTCTTGCCTTGGCCTCCCAAAGTGCTGGGATTACAGGCATGAGCAACTGCGCCCAGCATTTTTTTTTTTTTTTTTTTTTTGAATGGAGGTCTCACTCTGTCATCCAGGCTGGAGTGCAGTGGCACAATCACAGCTCACCATAGCCTCAGCCTCCTGGTCTCAGGTGATCCTTCTGTCCCAGCTTCCCGGGTAGCTGGGACTACAAACGCACACCACCATACTCAGCTAATTTTTAAATTTTTCTTTTTTTCTTTTTTTTTTTTTTTTGAGACAAGGTCTTGCTATATTGCCCAGGCTGGTCTCAAACTCCTGAGCTCAAGCAGTCCTCCAACCTTGGCCTCCCAAAGTGCTGGGATACAGGTGTGAGCCACTGCACCTGGTCGAGGCTCCTGCACTTTCTACTGACATCGTATAAACAGCCTCAAGAGGAAGGTTCTCTCATTAGCTCCATTTCACACATAGGGACTCTGAGGCCCAGCGAGTATCAGCAACCTCCCCAAAACACCCAGTAAGAGGGCCTGGGAGTCTTTGCTCTTGCCTCCACCCTTAACTGGTTGTCTTACCCGGACATTGTGGACCTGGATGGGACCAGCCGCCTCTGGCTCCATCTTTCCAGGGAGTCGATCTGTAGGTGGTCAGAGGTCGGGGGCTGGGGTTGGAATCATCTTAGATCCTGCCCCACCTCGAAAGGCTCCCACTGCCCCAGGTCTTGCCACCCCTCAAGCTTACCTGGATCCCTGAAGTTCCCCAGGGCCACTTGGATGCTGCCCTCCGAGCTGGCACTTCCCACCCGGGACCTGCGGGGACCCTGTTCTCCCAGAGGAGGGACTAATCAGAGAGAGAAAGGCCCACCTTCCCATTATCCTCCCTCCCACCTGCCTTTTTCTCTCCTTCCTCCCTCCTTCCCTTTGCCACATGCCCCCTCTCACCTCCTCCTCACCCCCAAGCAGCACCAGTTTCCCATCAAGCAGGGTGAAGCCCCCGATGTCCCAGACAGGCACGTTGGGCATGGGAGCCTCGGGCATCTGTGGGGCAGGGGACTCCGGCTGGGGCTCTGGCCCTGGGAAGAGGAGGAGGCATTGGGGGACCCAAGAGCCCCTTCTCCAACCACGAGTTCCCTCCTCTGTCCTCCCCACCCTCCAGCAGCCATGTCAGACTGTAGAACCTTGAGCAAGTCTCCACCTCTCTCTTGGCCTTTTCTCCACCAACCATGGGTAATGGGCACAGCCCACCTACTGTGTGCCCAGTCCTGTGTTTCCAGCCTCACACGCCGTCACTCATGGAATCCTCCAAAAAGCCATTCAAAGAGCTATTGCAATTGAGGCCCAGGAAGATTGAGTGACTTGCCCAAGGGTCACACAGTTTGTGAGTGCCTGAGTCGGGCTTTACACACAAGTATTCTTCTCTTTTTTTTTTTTTTTGAGTTGGAGTCTCACTCTGTCGCCCAGACTGGAGTGCAGTGGCTGCTCCCGGCCCCAGCAGC